TCCAATCTGTTCTAGGTCCATGCAGTTTTGGAGTAGGTTGTTTGTTAATAACGCAGGTGCTAATTGTTGCAATAATTGGTGAATGATCTGAAGATAGATCATAACTTGGAACTATGTCCATAAAGGTGTTAGATATTCCTTTTATGATGCAAAAATCTAAGAGGTCTGGTCTTTTTTTGGGGTCCGTTGGCCAGTACGTTGGTGTTCCTGTTGATAAATATGAGTATTTATTTTCTTGCATTAAGCTATAAAGCTCTCTCCCCTTTGTTGTTATTAATCTTGATCCCCAGTACGTGTGTTTACTATTGAAGTCACCAGCTGCGATAAATTTTGGACCTAGAGTATTGAAGAAGGATGCGAAATCGGTTTTTTTAATATTGTGCTTTGGAGGGCAATACACTGCTGCTATTGTTATTTCGTAAGGTAATGAGCACACTTTAATTACTGTAGCTTGGATACAGTCTGTTATATAACTTTCCATCATGAAATGTTTAATTGATTGTTTGATCAAAATTGCTGTACCTCCATGGGCTGTCTTGTCTGGATGGTTAGTATGGTACGTTAGATATTGAGGTATTTTAAAATACGATTTGTCTGTAAAATGTGTCTCACTTATTAATAATACATCTATAAAATTTTGTTGTAGAAATATTATCACCTCGTCCTTATGATTCAGCAGGCCATTGGCGTTCCATTCTGCTATTCGTAGAAAGAATTTTATTTGCATATGAGTTTACTTAGCATGTTTATTACCATGCTGTTTTGTTGCAAGATTTGATTAAACATGGCTTTGAATTCTTCTAAAAACTTCATAAGAATGGTGTTTGAATCTTGGTTATCTGAAGGAGCAGCAGGAGGTTGTCTATTACCCGCTGCATTAGCATAGCTTACATTTGGTCTTACTGTGTTGGGTATAAAGTTTCTGTTACGTGCTTGCGACATATTTTGGTGATGATTATATGTAGTTTGTGCTATATTTTTATTTCTATTTAAATTACGATAATATTCGCATCCTTTATAGTTAGCTGGGTGATCTCCTCCACATAAAGCACATGTAGCTGGTGTGTTCTTGTTCTTTTTACAACTGCTTGTACTGTGCTGTCCTCCACATTTCACACAGACATATGGTCTATTGCAATATGTTTTTGAATGGCCATATAATTGACATCTCATACATTGGATGATATTTTTGTTTTTTATAGGTGGTTCAATTTGTATATTGCAGTGTTGTAGTTTCTGAATTTTATAAATATCTTGGTTATTGTTTGATGGTTCAAGGTCAACAAAGAACATATTTATCGGCTCTTTTGTAATCCTATGTTTAGCATTAATGATGTTTCTTACCTTGTGACCCAGTTTTGTCAGTTCTTCTTTGATGTCTTCTGTTGCATGTGAATAGTGAAGGTATTTAATTACGACTCTATAGGCCCTTTCTTCCTTTGGTTGATATGTGTGATGAATAATGTTGTTCTCTCTCATATATCTGGAGAATTTTCTGTATATTTCTGGATCGCTACAAATTATTTTGACTGTATTATTTGCCATAGTTCTGGTTTCGTATTGTTCAGCTTCAGCTATTTCTGTAAATTTTTTCCTCATTTCTGGGAAGTCGCTTACATCGTAAACAAATATTGGTGGTGGTTTAGGTATTCTTGGCGCTGTTTCATTTTGATTGGTTTCATTTTCTTGGGTATCCGTTAGGGTATTATATTTGTTCGATAGTGTAATGGTATCATCTTCTTTGTCTGTTTCTACATTTGATCTGATTTTTCTGCGTTTTGTAGTTTTAACTACTTGCCATGAGTTATTTGTTGACACATTTGCACTTTCTGGTTCGTCATCGCTTGTTGATGACATTCTGTAGTATTGCTGGCTATTTCTGTTATTTATATTGCTGTTGTGTGCCGCGTTTTGTTGATTTATATATTGTTCTTGATTGGGCGGAAATATCATATTCGTCGAAGAATTAGTGGTTGGTTGATTTATTTGCATATTGTACATACCTGGTATTTGTGATGAGATTTGTGGATAACCCTGTATATTGTTGATTTGTGATTGACCCTGTGTGTTGTTTGGAATCTGCATTTGTGGGTAACAATTCATTTGGTTTGATGGATACTGGATTGGTAATGGCTGGCTGTTTACATTTTGTATTTGTTGGCTAACTATGTAGTTGTCGAATCCTGGTCCATTTCCCGTTGGAAACATTATAAATAAATTACTGTATTGTTTTTAAATTTAATTTGATGAGTTTATTATTTTTAAGTCTATTACTAATTGATTGCTTTTTAATCACTTCACATTTATCTGTTCAAATCGAGAAAACCGGTCGAATGTTGATAACAGAGAACCATTTAACGTCCGCTCGGTATGGAGTATCGATGTGAACTCAAATTCCTTATGGCGCATTATGTGTCCTAGATACGACGTCTTTCTAATTTTGATTGTATTAACCAGATGAGGTCGTGTGTTCATTATTTCCAGTACCTTTTCATTTGTATATTTGCTGGTCCAGATTATTCTTAGCATTCGGCGGCACATCCACATTTCGAATGAATTCAGTATGTTGACGTCACACTGTTTTAATGTCCAGGTCTCACAGCCATATAGTAGTAGAGACCACACATAACACTTTAGTGTTCTTAACCTTATTGTGTATAATATAGTCTACGTACATTACGCTTATTCCTCTGTAGTCATGATCTATGAACTAAAGATAAACCCACGCGCACACCATCAGTCGTGTGACGTCACTTGGCGACAAATGTCACCAGAAATGTTCTGTGTTGTATGAAGTTTTGTCAGATAAGTATTGTTTTATCCATAGATAAATAATATAATAGTAGAAATAGATAGGCAACTCAATGTATAAATTTCGTTCATTAGGCCCCTTGCGGCTGGGGTCAATACTAATCATCTTTTGGCGGCAAATTCGAATTAACACCCCTTACATACATACCCTTTAGCGCCTCTTGTGGGCTATTTCGTTACTAATTAAAATTTATTGGAAAATAAGGATATAAGATGCACAATTTTTTCTAGATATACGTATATTTATTTGTTGTTTAAGATAAAACAGTTATAAAATAATTACATAATATTTATTACACATATTTGCAGAAGTTAAATACTATTATTTTTTGCTTTCTGACAACTTACTATCATTCTTTTTGTAATTTTTCCATGATTTGTACACAACGAACAATACAATAATTCACTATGTTTAGTTTTGTTACTAGCACAACACAAAAATTCTTTGCTACAATAGGTAACTCAAAATAAACTTTAAAAATTAAGTAACCAAATTTAAATTAAAATTACTAAGAATAAATGCAAACGAAAGTTAAAGATAATAAAATAAAATTGAAAACTTGTAAACAAACGGAAGATCTGTCATTAATTTGGATTGACAGAATTGACATTGCTTCCTTTGAATCGTTTGATTATGTTATTTGGTTTATGATTGGTTAAAGTCTTCGTGAGAGAGATAGGCTGTCATTTCTCTTTATTAACTCGCTGGGGTCAAAGTGATGGGGGAATGAACCAAGTCGTTCATATAAGATTCCAGGCCCTGGTTTTATCGTTTATCTTGTACGTTGACATCGGTTTACTGGGTAAACCATCTTTCCGAAGGAGGTTTACTTAAACCATATCCAGATTTTTTAATTAAATGTAATGAACTGGACCATATTTTTAACAATTTTAACAAAGGGTCATTAAAATTAACCAAGAATTATTTAAAACCGCTAATGGATTTAGCTGTGTTCAGATGTAATGTTAGTAAACGTAAGTGCAGATGTCAAACATCTTTTTGTTAGGTGTAAATTATATTTTAAAATTAGAAAATTGAATAGATATATTAAGGAAACATCCTAAGTTAAGAAGAAGAAAATATTAAAAATTGTTAAATAAACTGTAAATTATTACAGTGTACTTTATTTTATAAGTTGTATTAAATTTTTATTTTAATAAATCAATCCATTGTATATAAATTTCCATTTCCAAAATGATGTTTAGTTCCTACTTTTTTATATAATTTTATTATCTATTTAAATTCTATTAATTTACATTGCTAGGCTAACGATGTATAATATATAACATATTTTTAAGTTTTAATTGCAGATATTTTACCTAGCATCCCTTAATATTCTAAATATTTAAATAAAAACCCTCTTTCCATATATGTTTTACCGACTGTGATGATAAAAGGTTGCTGATAAAAGTGGAACTTTTCACCAAGTGACGTCATGCGCGTCGACGTACAAAATTCGATTGCGAAGTGGGTGTATCTTGGAAGTCTTAGTATCATGCTCTGTAGTTTTCGCGTCGTTTTCTATCTCCGTTCTTAAATATAGATGTCATATATGCCTCCGTCCATTCCGTTGGGAGCTGTTCTTCATTTATGGCTTTCTGAAATCTCCGTAAAAAACATACAGGGTGAACTACAAAAGAAAGTTGGGATTTTCTTATATACTTTTTTAAATATACAATTCTATATTTTATTTTTTCAAAATATTTAATTTATTTTAAGCATTCCCTATACCTAAACTCCTTACTTTTTGAGCTATTTATTAATTTTTTCAGGAATGCCTTCAATTTTTGTAAGTAGAAATAACTTAGCCTTGTGCACTAATAAATAAAATTATTTTTATTTAATAAATAACTAATACAAAATATAAACCATAACAAAACGCAAGAAATGTAACAATTAATGTGATATTAAAGAATTAAGTCTAAAGAAAATTATCAAAATGTCCACCTCCAACGTCTATGGAAGTTTGTAAACGATATTCAGATGACCGAGCCTCTTGTCTTAATATTTGTAAGTTAATATTATTAAAAGCTCTGCTTCTATTTTTCATATCTTCTGGCGTTGTTGGAGGCTTCTGGCACACAAGAAACGTTCATTAATGACTAAATAATATTGTAATTTATATTTTATAAATTCCTAATAATAAAAATGATTATATCATCAATCATCCTAATCGAGTTATCTTTTTTGTTTTAGCATCTTCGATATGAAATTTTTAATTTACCTCCTGGTTACTGTATTTGTAGCCAGTGTTTCTTCATTTGGAGGCAACGATGAAAAGTTTTTAAAGAAGTATGCAATGATGAAGGTAAGAAATTTATTTTTACTTTTTTTTATATAGATATATTATAGGCGCATTCATTCATTCCAAATACTCCAGCGAACATAATCATACTAACAAGAGAAATCATAAGATTTCTTACCTGGCGAAACTGAATCCAAATCTTTACCACTGTGCTTTCTACAACTTGCAAAGCAAACATATTGATGAATTGGTCGGCAAGGGAATCTAAAATATGCATTCCACGTGCCGTTCATCATGGTCAAAATTCGTAGTGAATTCAGTTTACTAATATTTCCTGAAATTTCACGACTTCTTAACTGTATTTCTTTATTTATATATTTATCGCTTTTCTGCTATTACAGCGCCATCTATAGTCATCGCGAATAATGTAATAAAAAATAGAGTTTTCTATTTAAGATTTTAAAGTTGAATAACGTCACACCCCAAGAGACTAAGAATATTGTAAAATCTAAAAAAACTGCAAAGTTGTAAAGCTCTAATGTCTATTTCATCAAAATAAACATTAAAGTCACTTGTCATAATAACAGATTTATGCACGCCAATTTTTTAAAGAGCTTTAGCCATAAGAATTTTTCTAAATCACTATCTGGAGTACGATAGACAGTGATAAGCTGCAGATTAGATTTATATAATAAAATACCTGTAATTTCACAATGCTGTTCAGAAGAGAGGTTTTCAAAATTCAAAACATTAAAACTTTATTATCCCTGCTATACATTCCAGACGTAAAAAGAGAAGTCCTGCAAAATCCAGAAACCATATTGTAGTCTTTAATATAGACATTATGTAGCTCATCAGATTCAAGCCAGTGCTCATTAAATAAAATCATGTAACGACACATCAGTTGTTAATAGATTTAAATTATCGTCTTCAATTAAATGCGATATTTCTGAATATAAGTATATCATCAGAGCCTGGAATTTTGTTTGTTTTCAGTCCTTTGAATATTCTACCTTACTTCTTAGAAGTTTTGAGCCATCTTCACAGGATTTTGGTAGATTCGTGTCAACCCTGGTAACTTCAAAACGTTGTGTAATTTCTTCTTCTTCTTATGGTGCCTATCGTTACGGATGTTAGGCACTAACATGACTATTCTGACTTTGTTGACCGCTGCCCTGAAAAATCCGTAGTGGTTAAGTTAAACCATTTTTGCAGGTTATGCAGCCAGGATATTCTTCTCCGTCCTGGACCTCTTTTCCCATGCACTTTACCTTGAAGTATGGTCCGAAGTAGGTCATATCGTTGTTCATTGCGCATTATATGGCCCAGGTATTCCAGTTTGCGACGTTTTATGGTTACGACTAGTTCGCGCACTTTACCCATTCTATGTAATTTAGTCTTCGCTTATTTACATTTTTTTTATATCTCTGTAATAAGTCTACCTTCTGAGACGACTATGGATTGTGCAATATGTCATTTCTTCAAAGTAAATGATTTAATCTTACGATTTAATTTAAACTTTAAACGTGTCATGTTTCTGTTTTAGTTCTTCCATTTCTTTGCACTTATCGGTTATATAAACTTCATTAGCCTTTTTTATATATTAAATTATTCTCTATCTTTTGAAATAGAAACTCTCCTGACAAACGAAGACCAGAGATACCTCAGATAATTTTAAGATGGTTTAACCCAATTCACCTAGTCCGAAAATGGTTCATACGTGAGCTAGAACTCCTTAAAGATGGCGCCTTGTAATTAGTTTTTTTTTAAATACCTTCAGACTCTTTTGTTTAGTAAAACGAAAACTACTTACTTACTTCGTGGCATTACAACCCTTCGTGGGTTTTAGCCGACTCGACAACATGCCCCCACTGTTTTCTGTCTTGAGCAACTTCCATCCAATTCTCCACGCCCATAGTGCTTAGGTCTCCTGCTATATTATCTCGCCACTGGAGACAAGGGCGTCCGTGTGGTCTCCTTCCAGTTGGGACTTCCTCCCACACCAGTCTTACTGTTCGTTCGTCAGAATGTCTTCTGAGGTGTCCTGCCCATTGGAGTCTTCTGGACTTTATTTCTTTTATGATGTTGGCGTCTGGGTAAAGTTCTTCGAGCGTTTGCTTAGTTCTTATCCTATATTGTACTAATGCTTCATCCATTTTTCTTTCCCAAACACATAGTCGCTCTTCGTTTGCCTTTGTTATCGTCCATGTTTCGCTTCCATACATCACAACGGGTTGTATGATTGTTTTATAGACCTGTATCTCCGAACGTCTTGTTAGTTGTTTTGATTTTATAAGGTTTTGGAGGGCAAAAAGACATCTGTTGCCGGCCTAAATCCTGTTGTTTATTTCTTGTGATCCGTTATTGTCTTCAGTTATTGTTGTTCCAAAATACTTGAATTCTCTAACGCGCTCAAACTGGTACGATTATTGATCCTCCAGAGTTGAATCGATTTCTTTACCATTAAAGCCTTCGTGATTTTTTTCGTCATGAAAGTTAAATTAATCTTTTTTACACTAGTTGGCCGTGACCTGTCAACAGAGGTATAACTTACGTTTTTCATTGTCAAATTGTGGTCAGTTTGTGCAGTTTATCTTTTAGCTTTTTACTTTGTGACATTCAAATATAATAATTTCAATTTAACAAAAATGGTTTTTACTAATGAGGAATACGCTGATATGCATTAGTTTGTGGCGAAAAAAGGTGTAATGCTCGATCAGCACACGTAGATAACCTGAAAAATTTCCCAATCGTGGTCCCACTTACTCAACATTAAGAGAAACAGGTTCAGTGGTCTCAAAAAACAATGAAAGAGGAGACATGATGATGTTATTTTATTGGAAGTTGAGAAAAATCTAGAAATTAGCGTTCGAAGACTATCTGCCATGTATCCCACAATTTTAAAATCTTTTGTAGGAAATATCTCAACAACCAGATCGACTCCAGGTACGAAATATTAATACATAATATTTACGAACAAGCTGAAATGATAGTGACGTTGGGTAATGGAATTGGAACAAGACCATTGAAAATCAACCGAGGAGAAAGACAAGGAGACACAATATCTCTAAAATTATTTACAGCTGCCCTAGAAGATATCTTTAAGTCAATAGACTGGGAAATTAAGGGAATCCCTATTAACGGAAGATACTTGAACCAATTTAGATATGCAGATGATGTAGTACTAATAGCCGACACGTGGAATGCACTGAATACGATGATTAAGGAGCTACAGACAGAATCCCTAAAAAAAGGACTGAAAATGAATTTCAGCAAAACTAAACTAATGTCAAACAAAGATGATAAACCTATGATAAACATCGAAGGCACAGAGATAGAACACGTAGATGAATATACATATCTGGATTAAAATGTCAAGGTAAGCAAAGAAAATCAGACTGCCGAAATAAGCAGGCGTGTAAAAATGGGATGGGCAGCATTCGGAAGACTCTCATACGTACTTAAAAATAAAAATATACCTCAAAGACTGCGAACCAAAGTGTTTAATTTCTGTATCCTACCTGTACTTCGGATCCAGATACGAATAGAAATGGCAAGGGCAGCATTCTTAAAATTCAAACAATTGTTCTGTGACAAAAATCTGAATATTGCGCTGAGACTGAGGTTTGTTGAATGTTACGTCTGGTCGCAATTATTGTACGGGGTTGAAACATGGACACTAAAAGCGCAAATAGTTAAAAAGATTGAAGCCTTTGAACTTTGGATATACCGGAGAATGTTGAGAATCCCATGGACTGCCAGGGTCACCAATGAGGAAGTGCTGAGAAGAATGGGTCGAGTCAAAAAATTGTTGAGAACGATAAAAGTACGCAAGACTGCATACCTTGGACACATACTAAGAAATAATAAATATAGTCTTCTGCAGGTCATCATGCAGGGTAGAGTCGATGGCAAAAAGGGAATAGGTAGAAAAAGGAAGTCATGGCTGCGAAATATTCGAGACTGGACAAACATGACTGTAGACGAATTATTCCACGTTGCAAAAGACAGAGAAGCTTTTAAAAATGTGGTCGCCAACCTCCGTTAATGGGGACGGCATAGGAAGAAGAAGACCTGTACTTACATATGAAGCTCCAACCTGGACATTCACTAAAATAAACATGGAGGCGCAATTACAAGGCGCCATTGTCAAAGAGCTCTAGCTCCCTTACGAAGCATTTTCGGACTAGGTGAATTGGGTTAAATTGTCTTAAAATTATCTGAGGAATCTCTGGTCTTCATTTGTTAGGAGAGCTTCTGGATATCCTGTATGAGTCATCCATTCTATTTTTCCTGTTTTTGGTGCTGGTTTGAATATTTTATTTGTTTTAGTTAAAATTTTGCCTATGTTTTTCCCGCACTTATGAATCCTCGGAATAATTAGTTCTACTGTTTTTAAGTTCGATAATTGTGTATTTAATTTTTCGGTTACCACTTCCTTCGTCTTTGGGTCTTGTAAATTCTTCGTGTCCGGTGTTGTTTTAGAAACTGTTTTCTCTGAGCTTTTAGTTTTATTTTCTGAACTTTTAAAAAGGAGAATAATATGTTCTTTTTACTACACTATGCAAGTATTAAAATTAAATCTCTAATTATACAATATATTACAAAGAAATCATCATAAATCATTTTATAACTTTAACTTAAATTACAAGAGTAATGGTATTAAAATTACATGCCTCTCAAAACTTGTGTGGTCATATAAAATTATTTAATAAAAACTGTATTCACAGTAGATCACATTTAAAGGCAGACAATGTAATTACACGTTCCCATCCCAGGTACTTACCTCTTGCCTTAAGGCACAAGAAAGAATACAGTGTGCTGTTTAAAGTAATGATAATACATATAACTGTGGATCGATAATTATTTGAAAGATCCAAGAATATTTGAATTTGCTTTTTCAGCCGATTCGATCAGACTGGTTTGCCATTTAAGCTTGGCAGATTGGACAGTTTTTAATTTATTTCCGTGAACTGTTCTTCAACTCGCACTACAATTACACGAATAATCGAGTATAACGGCAAGAGGTATCTGACATATAGAAAAAACACGAATAAATATAATAATTTTTAACGCTCACATGAATCTCAGCAGGAGAACCATGATTAGGACATTAACTATTCAACTGATCATTGCTTAATTATATACCACAGTTTTTAATTTTTATAATTGTTTATTGAGTGATTGTGAATTTTTATGGAGTGTATTATTAATATCTTTTTGAGGTTTTCATTCTTTAATATGTTGAGACAATTAAAATGCTCTGAAAAAATATTATTTTTATACTTCTTTAAAATCAATTTAGTCTCTTGTTCTGTACTGCACTCACATCAATCACTCATCTCACTCACTCACCTCACCTACCTCACTCACCTCATTCACTCACCTAACTCACTCATTCACCTCACTTACCCAACTCTATCTATCTATCTATCTATAGCCCAAAATCTATTCATGTGTTGAATATAGGCCTCTCCCATTTGTCTCTGTCTTTTCCACATTGGACCTGCGCTTAGCTCAATGTCATCTTTTCATCTCATTTGCGGTCGACTTCTTGACCTTTTTGCAGTATATGGTCTCCAGCGGCTAATTTCTTTATTCCATCTTCCATCCTGATATCCCCATTTGAGAAGGGACGTGTTGACCATAAAACACCACGCTGGTCAGACGGGTTGGCGAGTGTATATTCAGCCGCCCACTCTGGGTCAGACGCTGTTCGTAGCCGTCCACTCTGGATCAGAGTGATCAGATGCTACTGATTTTATATTAACCCTAAAATCAGGAGGTGCCACTTCCGCCATCCTCGCCGTACCGAAGGTATCCTTCTCCGCCTTGAATGCCGTTGTGGTCTTCATCCGTGACCCTGGACAAGGGACCCTGAGCAGGTACTAGTTTCCCGGATCAAGAAACACTCACTCACTCATAAATGTCTATAACTCCATAAATTTTGCTCCCTACCCCCTTACCCTTGGTATGAGACAGATCTACTTAACGGATGAAAATATCCATAACATAGAAGTAAACTGAACGCGAACGGGTGACCACCTCAATTAAATCTCCCGAGTAAAATTAACATGGAGTCAAGCAACGAAGAAAGTATTACTGATCATATCGTTTGGAAGCCAAGATCCGTCAACTTTAACTGGAGAATACAAGTTAAATACCAATCATGCAAATTATAATTATAATTATTTACTTTTTTAGTAGTGTTTATTACACCAATATTTATAAATATCTAACAATTATATTTGATTTCTACTTTTAGATATATGAAAGTTGTTTTGGCGAAGAGGTAGTGCGACAAATACGGCAGGAATTAAAAAAGGCATGCGCGAAGTGTTCTAGTCTAGAAGCTCCACCAAGCGCGCCTGTCACCGTTTCTTCTGTACCAGAAGAAAGACCTCCACATCCACTTCAAGAAGCCGCCGGGCAACATCCCTTACAACCGTCCTTCGAAGCAGAAAAATTACACCAAGCTATTTTAGCCTTCAGGCCGGTAAGTACTTGATTACTTGTTTGAAAAAATTAAACTTACAAAAAAGTTTCATCACGACCGCAAAAAAGTAAATGTTCTCGCCCAGTACTGGAACAGGACAACCACATCATGCTCAATGAAGAAAGGCTCGAATTCAGACCCTATGTTCTACTTGGGCGTCGAATTCTCAAAGACGCTCAACTGCAACACTGACCTTAAAAACACCCTAAACAGAGTACGAAACAGAGCGAACCTCCTAGGAATACAAGATCGCTTGAGCAAGAAATAGAAAGAAACCTTGATTAGAAGGAAATTCGCAATATTAAAATATTTTAATCTATTATTTTGTTTTAGAATCCAACACCTCAACAATTTAAACCATTTTATCCAGGATTTGGCAACAGTCCAGCTACTTTTTACGGATCACCTTACGGTAATCCACAGATATCACCAGTACAAATGCCATTCTTCTACCCAGGATATCCACAGGTGCCATTTTCTCCATACCAACTTCCAGCATCAGTTGGACAGCAATTGTATGGAAATAGATTATCGGTAAGTTTTCTTTACTCTCAATACATGGTACAAAAGTAAATGATGATGATTGATATTGATTATACCATATTTATTTAAAATTTGAAATATTTACTTCTTGATGTCACATTTCTGTCGCAAAATTCACATTGTCCTTGAAACCAGAGTGAAGTTACTGGTATATTGGTTTATATTGGATCATTTAATATTTGTTTAATGTTAAGAATAATGAACGATGCAGGATGCAGTGGATGGTTACCAAGAGCTTGTAACACTGTCTGAGATTCTACCCTTTTCATGTTCTCTCAAAAATTAATATCTCGCCAATTTAAGGCTCCCTGTATATACATAGAATCTAGTTCTGTTCTGGTTCTTTCATAAATCTCATTGTTTCTTCTGTTTTTATGTCTATCTTATTAAGCGATACTTAGATAATAAAACCTTAGACAATTGAAAATTAAATGACAATTTTGTTCTAATCATTGCAATATTAAAAACAAGTCTTTATTAAAAACATTTTTTAGAGAAATATGGATGTCCGAAACCAACTAGAAATTTTGACAGCCAGAATGAGTGGAAGAGTACGAAACATAACCTGTGTTATGCAAGAGCTGGGTTACTTAGATGAAAACTTGGAACCAAACTACGTTAGAATAAATGAAAGAATTAGCAACCTTCCAATATCTGAAGAACTGAAGAAAGACATGCAAGAAGGAGTAGGCTTTTGCCAACAGTTTTCGGTAAGTTGGATGTTCGAATATACACTGTGAATCTCTGTGTAGATAGTTTTAGGTGATAAAGAAGTGTTGAATGTTATGTGAGTGTATGTTTTTTTAAGTCGGTATAAGTGAGAATGAGTGGAAAACTTTACTTTTCTAATTGATCAAACTGCAAAACCATCTCTGTCTTTACAGGCTATTATTATGGTTTTGAATTTTTTTTATAGCTGTGTGTTCATCTGTTTGTAGAACCTTTGTTAGTATTTTCTGTTATGGTGGTTAACAATCTCGTTTAGAATGTTTTCATATTACTCTTTCTTTTTCCTTCTAAGCTTTATTTTTTTTTTTCGATACTTCGATCAAAGATAAGACAGGTAGCGCGCAACGCCACTAGTTTGACATGGCTAGTGTCAGTTATATGAGTTTTAAAGCATACGTCGATAGTGTGAATAACATAAATATTATCACTTATATTATCACTTGTTAAATCAGAGTCGTGGCACGTTAACTCTACTTTACTTTATCTTTGATACCTCGCGTTTTTAACAGCTGGAAACCCTAATTTGCGACCATTTTTTCTCAGACAACCTTATTTCATCATATTAATTTAATTGGATATAAAAAATATGCATATACATCATGAGCAGAGTACTTTATTTAAAAAATAAATGAACCAAATAAAAATTTTACAGTGATATCCTATACTACTTCCAGTATTGATGCAGCTGCTGTCATACGTAATTTTGGATAAAAATATTGGATGATAAATTGGCATTAGATGGAAGTCTGGACGTATCCCTAAAATAGATCCATCCTTTTCCAGGATCGTAAAAAGTATTTACTTGTTTCTGAATATAAAATATATATTGGTATTCCTCTCATTATTTCCAACGTATCTTAGTTATATCAACTGAAATCTGGCTACTATTTTTTAAATATTCTTTAAAGAGTATCGATCTGTTGATGGCAATTTTAATATTATTAATATTTAATTTATAACTCTGTCTTGCAAATCTCCAAAACTACTCGCTCCATATCTATGTATGTAAAATTGTTTTAAACATAAATTGTGCAGCATGTAATAAATGGCGCAGTTTTCAATCTGTGTGCAAACAAACAAACTATATTAGTTTTCAAGTTTACAGGAATCTCGTCATTGTTTAACATATGTTTTAATTGCCCATTAAAAGCTAGATTCAAGTAGTGATGTCGCTCTTTGGTGTTCTTTTCCTAGTTTCAAGGTATATTCTTAATACACACACTCGCTAACAGTATCCTGAATAAAGTAGCTTATTCACGACATCACTACTCTTGTTTACTAATTAATATAATTTATTTCATACATATAATTTTTTCTCTTTTATTTTTAGCAATGTGTACCTGAAGTTAAAAAAGATAAATCACCACTTTCAAGAGAACTGATCCGGCCAATGTTTTTCTTCAAATGCTACAAACACAAAAAACTTGAAGCATGTATTATGAAAGATGTCCGGGAAAAATTTTCAGGAGTCTCTGACGAAGAGTTCGACAGCGATTTGGATTTGAGAAGGGCAGGAAAGGACATGAAATTTCCCAAAACTGATCAGGAAAAGGAAATAGATAACCTAGAATCTTCGATATACGAGTTTTTGTACGCTAGTGATAGTGGAATGGATCTTGATGGATTATTTTAAACATTACAAAAATGTTTGTAATTAATATATCGCCTTAATATTATAGAGTTGATTACTAGTTTCGATCAATTTTATAATGTGGAGAAATTAAATTATTTGTTTTTTAACTAAACTATTTTGCGATTGGATATCGGAGAATATTTGTAGTAATTACATCCTTATTAGTTTGTTATTTAATTTTAACACAGAGGCGATCATTTTTAATTACACACCGATTCTATTTATATTTATTTATTTGGTGTGAAGATATCGTAATTTAGACTATAGGGTGTTTGGATTTTTGCAATGGAACGACATGTAAACCATGATTTTATTGTAAAAATTTGAAAATAAATACGTAATAAACGATCGAATAACAATCTATAATTTATTCATAAACCTTTTTTAAAATGGATTCACAAGTATTTCTAGTGGTACCGAAAGCAACTGAAATGAAATAAATTAAAAAAAACGTCACATTCATAAACGAATAGTTGGCTAGGCACTTTGTGAGTTTCTAGTCCCCATATTTCAAAAGTTCGTTATAGGGGAAATGTGCCTATAATGGATCCCTTAAGGAAAAAGCTCCATAATAATATTAATTATTTACTTAGAAGGCTTTAAATATGACCACATAACGTCTTGTTCTTTGTATAATATGCTAATATTTAAAATTTTGATAAAAATTAAGATGACAAAAGTTATTCATATTTTACTAAAATTCTGTTAAGGGTTCATGGGCTCATATCTGCGCTCATGATGGACCCTTTGATACGCTCATGATGGACCCGTTGCATTTTGTATAAAATAAGTAAATACCAAATTATTTTATTAAACCAAAAGATATTCTAAACGATAAATAATATTACAAATAGGTATTTTTAAGAAAAAAGTTACATGCACAATTCACACAAATTGTTTACGTCCAGGATTTACATCTGCACATTTCTTGTGACACCAATTCTTACACACTTGACAACGAATCCATTTTTCTTTGGATTGTGAATGCGAAAATAGTTCGTTACAGTAAATGCAAGTTGCATCGTCCGAGTGTTCTTCTTCAAAAGAAGATTCACAATCGTCTTTAGAACTGTAGTTGAAACATGAACCTGCCTTTTCTCTTTTCTTGCGTCTTGTTTTCTTTTTTTTTTTGGCTTCTTTTTCTGCAATTTTGGTTTTATATCATCAATTTCTGGCGTTGAATTTAAATATCCTATTTTACCCCGTTTTCTACCCCATTTCTGAGTTACTTCAAATACTCCAGCTAAGGCAGGAGGACAAATATCTTCGACCGAGGTATTTAGAACTGACGATGATGTTGATTTCTGATCAGTGATTTTTGATAAACCTTCAATCAAAGAAATATTTTAGTTCTGATGTTCCGGTAGTGAGTTCTCTTCAGAACATCCTGGTAGTAGGTTTTGTTCATAATTTTCTCTGTCTGTTGTTATAGACGGCAAAAATTGCAAATCCTCGAAGACATCTGGATTAAACGGTTCTATTCCTGTCTTTTTAAATGCATTTATTGCATTTAATGAAAGAGTACTTTTTAAATATGCTCTATTAAAGATACTGGCTACTTTAAATTAGGTAACTGTTTTACCTGGATTCTGTCGCAGCCATAATTGAATTTCTTGGCCGTAGTAAGTTTGAAGTGGTCTAAAAAATCCTACGTCCAAGGGTTGAACGTGATGAGAGCAGTGAGCAGGAAAACAAAACATAATAATACCGTTTTCTTTTGAGAACTGGAGAGTTTTAAAACTTTTATGACTACCATGATCATCGAGTAACAACAAAACTTGGTTGGTTTTAGAAGCCTTTGAATACCTTAAAAAATGTTGCAGTCAGAGACAGAAAATGTCGGAAGTCATCCATCCTTTTTCTTGAGCGAAGGCTATACTTCCATAAGGTGCATCGATCATAAGTTCGTCTTTCTTTCTCTGTCGAGGAAAAATCAAAGCAGGAGGAACATATGTTCCAATTGCATTCATTGCACATACGACCGTAATATGTAGACCGCCCTCTGCACTGCTTAAAGCACCAACTTGTTTACGACTTTTACTACCATAAATCTTCTGCGATCTCTTTTGCACATTTGTCAAAGAGGACTAGTCCATGTTATAAATGATTTCCTTGCGCTTGAGCCCTTTCCAATGAAGTATTTTCTGAAGTTCGTAATGATATTCAAGAATTTCGCTTTAAAAAGCCTCTGACCTATTTTAAGTCTGCCATCTCGGTTTCCTTATCAAAAATGTGGCTAATGTTATTTCTTTCAGCTACTTCGTATACAACTTTTTGTAAATCTTTACGGGTCAGGCCAAAAAAACGAGCTTCCATGATGATAATATGGTTAGTAATTTCCTTTTCAATAGCAGTGGAAAATATTGGTCTTCGTCCTCCCAAATCACCTTTGGTACTTCTTTGTTGATTATTAAAGCGCCTTTTCCCAAAATCGTCAGAATGTTTTTGCTGCCAGCTTAAACCCCATAGTTTTTTCTTGTATGCTTTCTAAAGCTTGCTGCATATTACTCTCATTTCACTGTTGGCTTTTATGAGGATCCATCCCTGTAAAATATATTATGTTAAACGTTAAGTAACAACTTATTTCCTTTTTCCTATGATGGACCCCTAGTCCGTCATAGGTAACGACAAAGGGGTCCATCATAGGCAAATGGACAAGACAGTAAATTTACTTGTTACTTTTGTTTTGACCATTCTAACCTGAAACAAAGTATAGTATTTGACAAAGAAAGTGTAGTCATTTTATACAAAACAAAAGCAACACTTAGCTTAACATATGTTACCAGTATTACTTACTTAATTGTATTAGATCAGCAACTCCAAATTTTCATTCAAAATTGATTCAGACACATCAGTCCTGTCACAGTCTCGGCGCCGAACCGGTCCTGTTTGGTCACAGAACTGTCAACTATCTGACAACTGGCAAACTGTTCGTCAACTGATGAATGTGAATGCCGGCGCCATATTTCTATTAAAGAATATTTTTGTATGACGGATTGTTCGGTTCGGCGCCAGGACTGTGACGAGACGTGACTGATGTGTCTGAATCGACCTTTAATGTATTAACCGCTCTGTCGGCGTCGGACACATTGACATCCCCCCTTTTTTCTCTCTAGCGCTCGTACAGGCCTCCTTTTTTACTCTGTATAATAAATATAAAAATATGTGTTACATCCTGACTAACCTCTTTCATCAATGTGATTTTTTTACATGAATGGAGTACCAGTTTGTGCCACCATATGGTCTAATTATCGCATTTTCGCCCGCCATTTGACATCCTTTTTTCACTATACCCTTCAAATTCAAATAACGATGCAAAACTCACATTGCTGATTTCTGAAACACCAGATTCCTACATACAATCTCAGCTGATAATGATTATGGAGATATTATTAAGAGGAAAAATTTGTAAATAAAGATTAAAGGCAATAAACTATTATATTAGATCATCTGATTGCTTAGTCATTTTTTTTCAGTCAAAAAGCTTCTATTCTTCTTCTTAGTCGGTAGCTTATTTGTAAGAATTGTAATATCTCTTGTACTGCCGGTTTTAATTTGTCTTGATTTTCCGCTATTTTTATTGATTTTGATGGTCTTGGCTGTGAATTTCGTATTTAAATTTTTATAGATCCGGTTAGCGATCTTCGTCAACGTGTTTTCTAATGGACCATGATCCCCAGACTCTCTTCAATCTTGATCCCAGAAGGGGGTGTAGTGGTCATCGTGATGTAGCGTATTGTCCGTCTCTAGTAATTTCTTTTAATTCATGCTTAGGTCTTTTGCATATTCCTACAATTTAATCGATCCATCTTGTTGGGGATCTCCCTCGTGATCTTCGACCTTCTACCTTTCCTTGGATAATATGTCTTCCCATGTTTTCTGTGTCTGCTCTCATAACATGTCCAAAGTATTTTAATTGTTGAAGATGGACTTTTCTGTGGTCTGTGAACTCTGCCAGTATTCCTTTTTTATTTGTATAAACTAAAGAATTCGTTTCATTTCTGATTCGTTTATAGTGGTTGTATGCCTGTTGTGTTTGTTGTGTTCTGTATTGTAAAAAGACTTTCTTCTTTTCTTCACATTTTGTCTTCACTTCCTCTTTTCAAGGAAATCTCGAAGCAGATAAATCAAAAACAAAGTTTATACATTTTATTAAAAGATACAATGCTTTTTAAAACTACCAACAAAATATACTAATTAAGTACTTGTAAAAAACAGCCTATTATTATAATATAAAAATAATAAAATATTTCTAAAATATACAATTTTAAAGAATATTTATTTGTGATTAGTGATTAATTGTGATATAATATTTCGGACAAAGAAAAATAATACATTTTTCGACAATAATTTTTATATCTCCTATTTGAAAACAAATATAAATATTAAGAAATATGTACAATGCCGCTGAGCAGCAAGCAGTTCGTATTTCGAAGCTGTTTTGAATAAGAAGATAGCTCTTTACTATCCAGATCTCATTTCAAAATACAAGAATGTGAAATATAAGTATATATCATAAGTATATATATTAAGAAAATTATTAAAACTCTAATAAAATCAAGTAATTAACATAAAAGTTTAAAATCAGATTATACAAAACAGCTTAGATTTACAGTACTGCCATATAGTAGACATCATCATTTGTTGTGATGCATGCAAATATGTTTTTCCAAAGCATCATACATGAGGATATTTCAATAGATAACGATCATATTGACATAAAACATGCAGATGATATTTACGAACAAATTTGCTTGATTGCAAGCCTTAACAAAATCTGCATTAATTTGATATGTGTTAGTTCATATTCCAGATCTTCATCTTGTCATAAATAGGAAGAGAAAAATGGTTAATAGTAAATCTCGACCTTTTTGCATTATAATCAGTTACATACCTACTATGTTCTTTATAAAGTATTATTCAATATTCAAGTACGGTTCTAAAATGCTTTCACACTTTTTTTTCGGTTTAAAAACTGGCAGTCTTTGTGCATACCGATATACAGGGTGATTAACTTTTTTGTGACAAAATTCATTATACCTTTTATTATATGAGATGCCAAAAAGAATTATTTAGAAAAATTCGGAGAACGATTTCCGAAGTGGAAATTGAAACGTCAATAAACGTACTTTAACCTTTAATTGTGGCTTATTCCCATTTAAATAGTAACATATTTATTTGATGGAAAAATTAACCGGTATGTGATAGATGCAAGACAACTCTACATGTAAAACATTTGTTAAACTGTACACAATATATTCAAGAACAATCATTCCAACGATCTAAAAGCATTATTAGACGAAAACTTTAACATAATTAATATTGTAAGAAACTCAAGTTTTTCATCTATTGTAAATTAATTAAGTATTGTACCTCAATGTAACATGTCGCTAATAACCTTTAGTAGTTGATGCGACTAATATTAAATAAAAAAAGTTTACAGCTACTTGTCACAAAAATTTGGTCACCCTGTATACCATGGATTACTTTTATCACTTCGAATATCTCTTCAAAATATTAAAATTATTATCCAAAAATTGAAAAGTCAAAGCCATTAGTTTATTTCAAAATAGTTCAAATGGGACATAAATTTCTACTATGTAATAGTAAAAAGCAACAAGAAATGTTTAATTGATAAATGTATAAATCACAGATATTACCAAACTAACCCTGCATATGGTAAAAATAATTCATGGTAACATGTGGCAAGTTTTGTCTTCAAATAATTTTGGTTGAATCACTGATTTAACATTATCTAAGAAAACTTGGAAATTTTCATCCTAATTCAATATTCCTACATTGAAAAAAAAATGTAAGTTTTCTTACAAAGTAAAATAATATGCTTGACTATCACAGTTATATCTAATTGAATTGTATCAAGAGTACAGATGTATCGAATTTGTGATGTAACCCAAAAATCTATTCATTTGTTTAAAAATAAGGATCTAAAAAATGCTGCTAAGATAACTCGTCCCACTCGTTGTGACTTTTGAAGCGAAATATAGAAAAATATTTGAAGGCGCAGATTTAAGGTCAAGAGATTAAAAAAAAACTAACTTTTTTTAGAAACGTTCAAGTAATTATTGAAATTGCTTTGATCAAAAAAGAAATATTTTTCTGAATCAGAATACATGGTACAAAAAGATGCGCCTTGAGATCATTCCCGCTAAATCTACTTGTGGAGATCATCTCTTCTTGACGTATGTAATAGAGGAGCAGACATCGCAAGTAACCATCATCTCGTAATTGGTACCATTAAAATCAAGATGGCAAAAAACAAAATTACGCGAAACACCAAGAGACCAACATACAATCTAGATAAACTAAAAACGGTCCCAGGAAGACATATGTTTAGAGAGAAACTTTAACTCAAAACAAGAGAACGTGAAATAAATAGCTGGGAAGATTTCGTAGATGTTTTGACAGAAATAGCTGAAGACAAACTGGGTAAAAAATAGAAAGATAGAAAGAAATGGATATCAGATGAAACATGGAATCTTATCGAGGAAAGAAAACAACGAAAAAAAGATATCCTGCAAGCAAAAACTGTAGAAAGAAGAGCACACCGACAACAGGAATATAAAACAATAAATAAATCAGTTAAAAGAAAAGCAAGAAGAGACAAAAAAAGGTGGGCCGAAGAACTAGCAAAACAAGCAGAAACAGCTGCACAACACAACATAACTAGGGAGGTTTACCAAATTACTAGACGACTAACAAAAAATGGGTCCAACTGTTCGAACATTGTAAGATCCAAGACAGGCGAATTACTTACTACAACAGATGACCAAGTAGAGAGATGGAAAAAGCATTTTCAGGAGATGCTAGGTATTCCCAGAGATAATGCAGATGAAATTGTCGAAAACCCGCAGAATAGAGACTTGCATATTTCTTGCGAGGCACCTTCCAAAACGGAGATAATAACAGCTATCAAATCTCTGAGAAACAACAAGTCAACGGAAATCGATAACATTGCTGCTGAAATACTTAAAGCTGATCCGCGTCTAACTGCTGAATTTTTGCTCCCCATAATCCGAGAGGTGTGGGAAACAAACCACATTCCAGCGGGCTGGAAAAAAGGTAACATTATCAAGCTTCCAAAAAGGCAACCTCACACTGTGCAAAAATTGGAGGGGAATAACCTTGCTTACTGACATAAATAAAATTTTCACGACTATTATACTGAAAAGATTAACAAACAAGGTTGAGTTTCGAGCTCATCAAGCAGGCTTTAGACCAGAATCCTCCTGCATAGACCACATTAATACTGTGAGGGTAATAATGGAACAATCGGTTGAATGGAACACACCCCTATACTTGGTTTTTGTTGATTTTGAACGTGCCTTTGATAGCTTGTCTCACGCTGCTATATGGAAAATTTTAGAGATAAGAAGCATCCCGCAAAATAAATTTCTATTATAAAGTCACTATATACTGATGCGAAATGCAGCGTGACACACAATGGGATCAACAGTGACGAATTCGACGTACTTACTGGAGTTAGACAGGGATGCGTGCTTTCTCCGTTTCTTTTTAACATAGCTATAGACTATGTTCTCTCCAAACTAGACTCCGACACGAGAGGGATACAATGGATGTTAACCACACGACTAAGCGATCTAGAATACACAGACTATATCTGCCTATTAGGTCAAAGGTTCCAAGATCTGGCTTACCAATTGGAAACACTTTCCACTGAAGCCAATAAAATAGGTTTGAAAATCAATATTAGTAAAACCAAGTCCATGAGAATAAATGCAAGGAACAACACGCTATTTACTATCGATAATTTGCAGATTGGAAATGTGGAAAACTTTACGTATCTTGGAAGTGTCATAACAGAAAACGGAGGTACAGAAGACGATATTCGTATGAGGATACGAAAAGCCCAACAAGCTTTCAGCACGCTCAACCCTGTTTGGAGATCTGGCGAGTATACTACAAGGACAAAGATCCGAATATTTCGATCAAATGTCATGTGTATTCTACTCTACGGATGTGAAACCTGGAAAGTGACAAACACCCTCACAGACAAACTGCAGGTCTTTGTTAACAAATGTCTACGAAGATTTGTTCGTATATTCTGGCCTAACACCATCAGAAACGAAAATCTGCTACACCTGACCGAACAAAAGAGGGTAAAAAATTAAATTAAGTCCAGAAAGTGGAGTTGGATCGGTCACATACTCCGAAAGAATAGTTCCAGTATCGCAAAGACTGCCCTAAAGTGGAATCCCCAAGGGAAAAAAAAAGAGGTCGCCCAGTACAAACTTGGAGAAGATCCATCATGGATGAGATAAGAGGTCAAGGAAAGTCTTGGAATGAGATGAAGGCCTTAGCGCAAAATAGAACCCGATGGCGCGTTTTCACTGAAGCTCTATGCTCCACGTAGGAGTTCAAGAACCTTATATAAATCTACTTGTACAGCATTTAACAACAACCAGCAACCCAATATTATGATCATTACAATAGATGTGAGCACAGTTGAGTGAAAAACACAGGATAAATATAAATCAAATGGAACATAACGCCTACAGTGTTGCACAATTTCTTACTACAATATTGATATACCATGAACCATGACCTACTTAGCATGCGATTAAAACGAGAATAGGTTCAAATGAAAAAGGATTTTTTTGTTTTCATCAATTTTTGTGTGTTATGTTAATAACTGGTCATTACTTTAAAATACTACTCAAGAGCAAATATAAAACTATATTCTAAACGCAATCAAAATATTGCATTTCATTTCAATTCTAATTCCACCATTGTTCTACACTTGTTTTGAGTTATTCTACTCTCATCAGGAACACTTATGGAAGTTCAAACTGAAATGAAATGCAGTCTAGTAGTTGGTCGTTATAGTAACAATAACTGCCTGAGTAGCTAACAGCGACATCTATACGAAGCAACAAGAAGTCGGGATACCTCTCTTCGATAGCTAATTCCCTATCGAAGGTAGGTCTTTCGAGTTCCTGTTGCTTCTTTTATTCTAAACACCCATACTCTTGTTTTAACTGAAATTATATTTAATTTAGCTACCATTTTTTAAAGTTGTGTTACAAACTATGATCTGAAGATAATATTTGTATTATAAACTGAAACTTGTCTAAAACAAAATTGAATGGTCGTGATCAATTTTCCCAGCATAAACAGGATTCAAAGTTTCCCAGGTTAGATTTTTATGTTTTATATCCTCAAAAGTAAAGCGTACAATATAGAATGTAAAGCTAAGAAAGGCACCAAGATGAAATTTCAGTTGAACTGTTAAAAGTCTTAGTTAAAAGATGATTGTAATATATAGACACACCCGAATTATTAATTACATATTATTATATGAAGAAGGCAACATCTCGGAGGAATTGCAAACTTGCAAAAACCTTATAAATCTTAAAGGACATGTTTTCTTATGATTTAAAATAATTTCGACAAATGTTTGAATGTCCTACCCGACTCAGTTACTTCACATTATTTGTAACTTATAAAAAAACCTTGATTTGATTTACTTTGAAATCTATACAATGGGAAAAACCTCCAAAAACCACTAAAAACAGTTTTCCGGCTTTGTGAAGATGACGGAAAAATCGAAAAAAAAAACTCAGAAATATAGTTTTTCTAAATCCAAACAAGAGTTATACGCCTTTTTTCGAAAAAAAAAATCATTTTTAGGTTATGTACGGATCTATAAAAAATAATCAAGTTTTGCAAAAGCCTGAACTATGCGTGTGAATTTTTTGAAATTTTTAAACTGATTGCAATTCATTGAAAAAAAAAAATAAATAAAAACGAAAAAATTATGTTTTTGGGGCTATAGGGAGGAGGTGGCGGGTTAAAATTGCGCTGTCTTATTTTTTAATCACATAGAACATAAAATAATAAAAAAAAATGAATTCTGGGAGTGAGAACATTTTCCTATCTTAAAGAGGGGTAACCTTTCTATTGCTGGAAATATTGATTAAGGCCATCCATGAGAATCTTGACAAAAATGAATATCCTTTTATGGAAATTTTGATGACTGCACATGTTTTTAGTTACTCTATGGCTTATTGAAATAAAGTGCATTTTCAATTCTTTCATTGTTCAGTTCTGCAATAAAATTAAAAAGATCATCTGTTGATCCCTTTAAATAAAAATATCTGCAACTGTTTAAAGCATTAAGTATATACAATAATACAACATACAAAATATCGATCACTTCTCTACTTATATGCTGGTGGCGTTCCAAAGAATTTGCCCTCTCTCTTCTTTCTAAACTTACTTTCACTTCTGCCGGATGGGGTGAAAAATCTCGTTGCAGTTGGTCTCAATAATGAATCTGTACTTGGGGTTTGTTGAAGTCTGTTGCAGTTCGTAGAAGGAGTCAGGCACACAGTGATAAAGTTTTTCCAAAAATCTGGGGGAATATTCATAATGTATGTCATCACTTTAATGATGTACTTAGTTTCTTCTATTAACTTATTAGGTTCGGGATTACTTGATGAGTAGCCAACTATATTCGGACCAAACACTTTAGATAAATTATCTTTTGGCATTTTACATTCAGGTCTTTGGGCAACCTGTTGTAAATGTAATATTAAAAAGGCCAACGTATCTCTGTTAGGTTGTGGCAACTTGGCTATTGTTTCATACAGTGCGGGCATTATATCATTTGAGTCCTTTGCTTTAACAGCTGTTACAAAATCATTCCACAGAGTGTAGGTCAGTAAGGGTTCCGTAAGAGAACGTAAGAAATCTTTTATACAGCCACAGATCACGTGAATATCTATTTCCTTTAGGTTGGGTGGTACACGACTAGAAAGAAATTTTTCTTTTAAACCTGAAAAAATTAAATATTTATCAATATTAAATTTTAATTCCAAATTGTTGAAGGCATTTTCAAGACACTACGCATTTTCTTGTATCATTTCTTATACCATTTCTGATATAACAAAAAAATGGATAGTGTCATACAAGCCTATAGTTTTTATATCAGAAACGATAAAAGAATTTGTATCCGCTGCAGTTTCTTGTACGATAAATGCCCAATTTGTGCGCAAAAACGTAAAACTTCTGTCATAATAGTGGCTGGAGGAGAAGTTTGATATACAATTAGACCAAGCAGACATCAGAGAAATGTGCACACCAACAATAACCAAGATTAGAACAGCAGTAGCCAAATTCAAAAACAATAAATCACAAAGATTGGATCAAATAGCATCGGAACTATTGAAAGTAGGAGGAGATTACTTTATATCTCCAAATAAGAGAGTAGAATTTCAAGAACAAATAATTTGTAAAAAAGACAAATAAATTATTATAACCAAATTATTTATTATTTCTCGAGTCTGACTAAGAGTCAGACGAGGCAGAAAGACTCGGTTTTGCTAGAGGGATACTCCTTATCGAGAGGATCAGTAGTGTCTTGGATATAATGTCAGGTTGTTGTACCCCATTATCTTTATTGAGCAAAATATTTATGCTATATTTGTAAAAATATATTTTTGTGGAAATTGTTTAGCCATTGTGATATAAAATTGGACACAATTCCCTTTTTCAAGATAACAATATCACACCACATGGTGCACAAAGAGTAGAAAATATGGCTTAATATTTGATTATTAACCAAATTCATCTGATGGCAAAAAATGTGTTGAATAATTATTAAATTATTAACATACCTTTAACTTCTTTTTCTGATCCTGGAACTCTATATATTCCCAATTCACTCAGACCTCTCTTTTCAATTTCATTAACACAGTGAACAATGAGTGATGGAACCATTGGGGCACTAGTTGGTGTATAGTCGGCTATTGTTCCAGTAAATTTCTTGGAGCTGGGTGTATGGAGAACTGGAACACACGGTGTAGGCATTAAGTCTCTGCATTCTATATGGCACAACATTCGACATTCCTTGCATTTAAGGGCAGTTTTTCCAAACCGGATGTGTTTTTCACAAACTGAACATATATTTGGCATTACAACTGTCTTTTGTTGTAAGCAATGTTGCCTGAAATTACTGTTTATGTCTACATATGGACTAGCAGCATTTCTTTCATCTGAATAAATTAGGAAAATTAAAAAAGATAATATTAAAACCACATAAAATTAATACAAAAGTGTGTTCATTTTTTAATTTAATCTAGGGTATTATAGTTAAATGGTAAATACAGCAACACAGATGAGAGTATCCTCTTGCCATATGCCAATAGCTAAATGTATTATTTACGGTTCAACTGTATTTAGAACTGATTAAGAAAAGTATAGAAAACACCATTGATATAATTTTTTCTGTGTTCTAAAACTATTGCAACTACTAAAACTATATTGAACTAATTTTTTAAATAAACCTAACTTTTTTAACTATGTTCTATAACACAATACTCCTACAACTGTTTTAATTATAAATCATCACTAGGGATTGCAATCCAGCAGCATTTTCACTCCAGCTGGATTTTTGCAAGATTAGCCTGAATCCAGCTGGATAGAGCATGGATCCAGCAACATGTGGAATCAAAATAAAAACACGATTTTAATGTTTCCTTTTTGTTCATTTATTACTTAAGCTTTTTAATACAAACTAATAAAATAAAAACTCAAAATAAAAATTATCTTATATATATATATATAAGGTTCTTGAACTCCTAAGTGGAGCATAGAGCTTCAGTGAAAACGCGCCATCGGGTTCTATTTTGCGCTAAGGCCTTCACCTCATTCCAAGACTTTCCTTGTTTTCTTATCTCGTCCATGATGGATCTTCTCCAAGTTTGTACTGGGCGACCTTTTTTTCGTTTTCCTTGGGGATTCCATTCTAGGGCAGTCTTTGCAATACTGGAGTTACTTTTTCGGAGTGTGTGACCGATCCAACCCCACTTTCTGGACTTTATTTCATTTACTACCCTCTTTTGTTTGGTCAGGTGTAGTAAATCTTCGTTTCTGATGATGTTAGGCCAGAAAATACGAACAATTCTTCGTAGACATTTATTAACAAAGACCTGCAGTTTGTCTGTAAGGGTTTTTGTCGCTTTCCAGGTTTCACATCCGTAAAGTAGTACAGACATGACATTTGACTGGAATATGCGGATCTTTGTCCTCGTAGTGTATTCTCCAGACCTCCAAACAGGGTTGAGCATGCTGAAAGCTTGTTGCGCTTTTCGTATCCTCATACGAATATCGTCTTCTGTACCTCCGCTTTCTGTTATGACACTTCCAAGATACGTAAAGTTTTCCACATTTTCAATCTGCATGTTATTAATGGTGAATAGCGTGTTGTTTCTTGCATTTATTCTCATGGATTTGGTTTTACCAATATTGATTTTCAAACCTATTTTATTGGCTTCAGTGGAAAGTGTTTCCAATTGGTCAGCCACATCTTGGAACCTTTGTCCTAACAGGCAGATATCGTCGGCGTATTCTAGATCGCTTAGGCGTGTGGTTAGCGTCCATTGTATCCCTCTGGTGTCAGAGTCTAGTTTGGAGAGAACATAGTCTAGAGCTATGTTAAAAAGAAACGGAGAAAGCACGCATCCCTGTCTGACTCCAGTAAGTACGTCAAATTCGTCACTGTTGATCCCATTGTGTGTCACGCTGCATTTCGCTTCAGTGTACAGTAACTTTATAATGGAAATTATTTTATGCGGGATGTTTCTTAGCTCTAAAATTTTCCATATCGCATCATGAGATAAGCTGTCAAAAGCACGCTCGAAATCAACAAAAACCATGTATAGGGGTGCGTTCCATTCAACCGATTGTTCCATTATTAGCCTCACAGTATTAATGTGGTCTATGCAGGAGGATTCTGGTCTAAAGCCTACTTGATTAGCTCGAAATTCAACCTTGTTTGTTAATCTTTTAAGTATGATGGTCGTGAAGATTTTATTTATGGCGGTAAGCAAGGTTATTCCTCTCCAATTTTTGCATAGTGTGAGGTTGCCCTTTTTTGGAAGCTTAGTAATGATGCCTTTTTTCCAGCCCGCTGGAATGCGGTTTGTTTCCCACACCTCTCGAATTATGGGGAGCAAAAGTTCAGCAGTTAGATGCGGATCAGTTTTAAGTATTTCGGCAGCAATGTTATCGATTCCCGGAGACTTGTTATTTTTCAGAGATTTGATAGCTGTTATTATCTCTGTTTTGGAAGGGGCGTCGCAAGATATACGCAAGTCTATATTCTGTGGATTTTCGACAATTTCATCTGCGTTATCCCTGGGCGTGCCTAGCATCTCCTGAAAATGCTCTTTCCATCTCTCTATTTGGTCATTTGTTGTAGTAAGTAGTTCTCCTGTCTTGGATCTTACGACGTTTGAACAGTTGGGCCCACTTTTTGTTAGACGTCTAGTAATTTGGTATAGCTCTCTAGTTCTATTGTGTTGTGCAGCTGTTTCGGCTTGTTTTGCCAGTTCTTCAGCCCATCTTCTTTTGTCTCTTCTTGCATTTCTTTTAACTGCTTTATTTATTGTTTCATATTCTTGTTGTCGGTTCGCTCTTTCTTCTACAGTTCTTGCTTGCAAAATATCTTTTTTTTGCTGTTTTCTTTCTTCGATAAGATTCCAAGTTTCATCTGATATCCATTCTTTTCTATGTTTCTCTTTTTTTACCCAGTTTATCTTCAGCTATTTCTGTCAAAGCATTTGCCAGATCTTCCCAGCTATTTACTTCACGTTCTCTTCTTTTGAGTTGAAGTTCCTCCCTAAACATGTGTCTTCCTGTAGCCGTTTTTAATTTGTCTAGATTGTATGTTGGTCGTTTGGTGTTTCGTGTGATTTTGTTTTTTGCCATTTTGATTTTAATGGTACCGATTACAAGATGATGGTCGCTTGCGATGTCTGCTCCTCTTTTGTTACGTACATCAAGGAGAGATGATCTCCATCTTTTTGATATGGCGATGTGGTCTATTTGATTTTCTCTTATATGACCTGGTGCAGTCCATGTAATCTTGTGAATATTTTTATGTGGGAAGATGGTTCCACCAATAACTAAGCTATGATTGGAGCAAAAATTTGTAAAGCGCTCTCCGTTTTCATTCATAACTCCCAGGCCATGTTTGCCCATTACGGTTTCTAAGTTAATATTGTCTTCTCCAACTTTAGCGTTCATATCGCCCATCACTATTAGTATATCGCCTTGGTTTACTTGTTGGGTCGTTTGTTCTAGTTGTTCGTAGAATATGTCTTTATCTTCGTGGAGAGATGTGTTCGTGGGAGCATAGCACTGAATCACTGTTATCTTGCGGTATCTGGTATAAAATCTGGCAATCATAATTCTATCATTGATTGGTTTCCATGAAATGAGGCTTTTTTTGGCTTGTTTGCTGAGTAGAAGACCCACTCCGCTCTCGTGATTTCCATTTTCTTTACCACTGTATAATAGGAGTTCTCCTGTTTGGGTATGGTGTTCACCATTTCCCAACCATCTTACTTCCGATAGACCAACAAAGCTTAATTTATACCTGTTTAATTCTTTTACTGCTTGAGCTAGTTTAGAAATCTCATACAGAGTTTTAACATTCCAGCAACCAAATCGTGTCCGTGTTTTCGGTGATGCCAAGGTCGTCAACATTTGATCCGTCCGGTTTGTTTCTACCAAAGTTTCAGTAATATGATAAAATTTAAGATGGGTAGGTTATTGGCCTTCCGCACCCGAGTCTGGTGCCGGGGCTGCCGACTGTAGCGTCCAGACAAGCCTCAGGGGGTAGTGGTCCTGGAGGTGGCAACGACATTTCCTTCGTGCGAGATGTTAAGGTTATACCGCCTATACTCGGTCTAAAAAAATTATCTTAGGTGTATATAATCAAATAAGGACGAATAATCAGTTGTAATTCTCAATCAATCTTACCTCTCTTTAATTTAAAATGGCTAAAGCAAATGCCAAAATTATCATGAGATTAAAAAAAACTCGTACTCAGTAAGCAGTAGAAGTAAACATAGGGCTTTGCTTGTGTCGGCTGTGAATTGTCACAAATGAAATTTTATCCACGTGAACTTATTTGTTGTAAGAGTAGTTCATTTGAAGCAAATTTCATTGATGACAATTTTGAACTGACACAAGTTAAGTAATGTTTTTCTTCCATGGCTTGCTAAGGACAAGTTTTTTTTGGATATCATGATTAAAATCAGTCTGTATTCTAAATTTCTAAGCAACAGAAACATGAATTATTTAGTTTTTTGGAAGTGAGACCTTAAAAAACATATTTTATCTATCGTCTTATCGCCTAACCTACTACACACAGATTTGCACACATAGCTGGTTGCTGAGAAAGCCCTTTTCTCCTCTATGCTGGTCAGTTTTAAGGTCATCAAATAGTTATAAACCATGGACAAATGATTGCGTTTCACTCCTTCAGTATCACAAAAGGGTCATTTCCTTTTTCCAAATCTTTTTGTAATCTTTTTGAACACCAGTTTTTTTTTGTTATAAAAGTTTTCTCTCTCTTGTTTCAGTTTAATCTCAAGTTCTTATTCTAAAGTCCAATTCTCAGGCTTCGGATTAACTGGCATATCTTCTACTTCCATTATGTCCTTTTGCTTGTTTATTTATATGACTTAAATTTTTCGGTGCGGGGAAATAACCAGGATTGTTTCGTCCTTCATCATACTTTTTTGGATTTTGTAAGTACACTAATGTTCCTGTAATTTCAGAGAGGCGCCTTCCATGATTCTATTGCGTAGTGCTTCCGATAGCTCGGCACTAAGGCCAGAGTCCTGGCTATTTAGTTTGTCTAAGACAAATTTAGATCAATAAAACTAGAACTCATTTTTAGTGAAGCAAGTCTGAATATCTAGAACCAGTTGGACTACTGCTTCAATTATAGTGAGATTCTTGTTAGCTTTTTATATACTGATTAATGCACTATAGAACCAAATAAATTGTTACTTGTGTATTGAATGCTATACTTGTGTATTGTTAAATTATTTGTAACTTATTTCCAATATTGTTATTTTAATTCATACAGAAAATAATAAAAAAGTGACATTTATTTATATAAATATTGTAACAATTAAAGTATAAATACCTTGTCTATTCCATGATTCTAAGATCAAGTTTGGAGGTGCTACACATTCTCCATCAGATTTTGGAATTGACTCAATGATAGATGTTGCTGTGATGGGACCATCTTTATTTAAAGTTAAAGTTGTAGTTGCCTTAATAGTATCTGTAATGCCAATTTCCACACCTTTGTTTGATGTTGACCTGAAAAAATGATTCACATATTGAACCAATTAAATAAAATTTTGATACATTTACGTAACCAAAGGAAAAAATACAATTATACTTAGGTCATATAAACTTTCTGTAAACTTACATGAATTGTTTATTTATTGTCCAAGAGAATGTAGGTTTTTAGAAAATAACAAATGCAATGTCGTTACCTAATACCTACGTTTATTGTTGGAAAGATGGAAAACTCAGCATATTAACAAGAGGGACATACCATAAAATGCAAATAACAAAAACAGAAATGTCCATTAACAAAAAATTAGATTTTTTAGAACAAGTACATTTATAATTATATTATTTACCTTAAATAACCAGTTAAATGGAGTATTTTAATATTTGGTTTACAATAAATGTTATTCAAATCGAAAAATAAAAATGGACAAAAAATATCAGGACTTTATCTCAGTCATTAACATATACTGGCATATTGTAACTCAAATATCTGAAGGCCAATTAGATTACACTGAGATTTCAGCTCTAAAACCGATAGCACTATCATAATTTTACAAAATTTACTTCAATTGTCTGGCAAAAAATGGCGCTCAGACACTCAAATTCCCGAGAGCTAGAATTGAATCTATAGACTGCCTAGATCAAAGTGATTTGTCTTTTCTCCTGAGGCAACGTGAGTTCCCTACTTTAGCTGTAAAAATTTATTTTCCAAATAGTTATAGACTCAACAATGGCATTTATAGATATCAGAAAATCTTTATTTTATTCTGACAACTGATGAGCTGATCTCAAATAAAGATTGTATGAAAGTGGTGGTGGAAACAAGCCAATGGCTGATATTAGCTGATCAAACAATTTAATATTTCATTCTAAAGTATTACCTTTAATTTGTTATGAAATTAATTAGAAGCTATGTGCAGGTAATGTTGTTTACCTTTCACAATTTACAATGTAATAACACATGTAGGTATAATATAATTGGGGAAAAACAAAATGAACATCAATATTTTTGGAAAATACTGGTTTGGTCTAGTAGAAATAATTTTGAAGATATTGATACTTAAAATTCATAAATAAAAGTCTTAAAATTCATAAATAAAAAAAATAAATGGTTAGTTTAATATTACCTTCTTTTTTTATTAGCTGGTTCTTCCATCAAATCAGTTTGTTGACGTTTCCATTCCTTTGTAGGTTTATTCATACATCTTGAAGAGTCTAAATCATCTTCTGAACGAGAATAGCTGAAATCTGAGAGAATGGAACCAGTAGAATTTATTTCTTTAATAGCACTGAGTCTTTCTGGATCACCAAAACTCATTCTTCCTGTAAAAAACGTTTGTACAATAATAAACAAATCAGCAAAACAACAATAAGAAGTAAATGATAAAGTGAATAGTCAAATCTAAACGGTTAAAGTTACCAAAAATATTACTAGAGATATTTTGAGAAAATAATATTATATACAGAATCAAATAAAATTCACCTGAATATAAGTTGCTAATTTGTTCTTTAGCATCATCAGCTAACTTATTTCTACTATCCTTAACCAAAGCATTACAAAATTTAGCAATCTGATGTTTAAATTCATCTCGTTCCTGTTCAGCCAATTTTCGTTTCTTAGTCTCCTCGTCCAACATTTTTCTTGCATTTTTCAGGCGTCTATTGTATTCATTTCCTTCTTCAATTTTTTGATCGACCTCATTTCTTAGTCTTATGCATTCTGCAATTGTTTTTGTCCATTCTTGGTACAACAGTTTTGTTTGTTCTGCAAAATTATAAAAGCTGTCGTGCAACTTATCCCTATCTTCAACTTTCTGGTGGTATAAACGCTGTAATTCATCATATAAAGCAACAATAGTAAGATCATTTGTAGATCCTAAAGTTGATCCAGAACTACCAGTGGAGCCTGTTTCAGATATAACACTTTCATCACTTTCTGTGCGTGTAAGCTTTGCTTTCTTACTTGGATAAGGAGATTTAAATGGTGTATCACACATTTTTAATATATATTATAAAATTGTATACAAGCTATTGTTTAAATATTAACCGCTTTTTAAAATAAATTAAGCATATCAACAACGATTTTAACGGAAAAATCAGTTCAGTTTTCAATTCAAACTTTTTGACAATTGTCAACTGTCACTGTCCAATGTCGTACTCGAGCTGACGACACTTGGGTCTCGGGCAACCATAAAAAGATAGTGGCCAGGCTTACGATTGGTCAAAAATTTCAGGCTTGCGATTGGTTAGAAAACTGACTTGGATTATAATATTGACATAACCTCGAATTTTGACAAGTGTTTCTGTTTCATCTTCATCCAAAATTAACAAAAACAAACACAACTAAAATGTAGAATTTCCTAAATATGTGATGTAGAAGGATGTGTGTAAAATATTTAGTTGAGAACTAAAGAGCAGCATGTCTGAAAACCAAACAAAATGAAACTGAGGGCATTGATTTAAAAATGTTTACTGGTAAGTAATAAAATATTTTAGAGATATTGACAGTGTCCATAAAGCCTATCATATTAAAAAGTAATAATTGTTTAAATATAGTCATATACAAATTTTGTTTTCTGTAAATATAGAAATTTTAATTTTCTACTCTTTAATTAGGTATATTATTTATAGGAAGACAATGAATAAAAGATCACTGAATAGGAGAAGAGAGTTCATCAAAAACTATGCTAATGTTGTAACCATAAGATTATTTTAACTAGAGATGCAGATATTTCCTCTTGAATATATAGTAAGGCAAACCATTCAATATAAGATTCATTGAATATTACAGGTTGTTCTTCCAACATGTTTCTTTTTTTCTTGAACCAAACTGCTTGAGGTTTGTTAGGGTTGACAGCTATATTGAACTGTATTAACCAGTTTTCCATTGAATTTAATGCTTCTTGTATACTTGTTGCACCATTTCAGTTTGTATATTTGGCAGCTATTGCTGTATTTTATGCATACAGAAATGATGACAGTTCTCATGATTTGAATAAATATAATTTCCAACTAATAAGATATCAAAATAATATATGATCAGGGTTTTTCTGTAGCTTGTAGCTTTTAGATATATGTGTATAAAAGCACTTTTTTCCAAAGTTAAAAATATTATTTTATGTATAAATTTTATGAAATAAATGCACAAATGTGAAAACAAACATAATTTATTTTATTTTACAAAATTTACAGGTACATCCCAATTATATTTTAAATATTACATGAAATAGGTAGAGGATTGAAAAGCATATTCATTAAAGATCTCACAGGAACACTGAGAACAAACAAAGAAAATACAGCAGGAAGCTATATAAAGATAATTAAAGGCAGGAATTTGTGTTAGAATATACAACATTAAAAGTGGATGTTGTCCTATGGTGGTTCATTATGTATTGACAGTATAGAAAATTCGGTAGTAATGCCAAGAAAAAATATAAAATAGATTGTCAGTCAAGTTCATGTAAAGTTTTATAATGTTCTGTAGTTGAGAAGGAATAAAGTATAAGTTTGTTGAGGCTCAGAACAATTTTATTGGTGCATATACTTAAAGGAACACTTCACCTAACTTAAATTATAACTTGTACACCAAACCCCTGACAAAACAGAAGAAAAACCTAATATACTGGAAAATGAAGTAAGACTAGATATAAACTAGAGTAAAAGTCAGAGTAGAGTAAACTCAAGTATAACAAAGCACCAGGTCTAGATATGATGACAAACAGTAGAAATGCTCAAAGCCGCAGAATAAACCTTTCTAGTACAGTAAAATTGCTTCATGTGCTCTGTAAACATACCAAACAATGTCAATTTCTGATGACTGGACAAAATCTAAAATATTAATAATACATGCAACAAAATGCAATAATTATAAAACTATTTCCGTTATATCACATGTCAGCAAGATACTGCTACACATAATCATTGAGACACTGAATAACTTTCCTGTAAAGAGAAACAGCACAAGAGCAAACTGGATTTACCAATAGTAGAACTACTTGAGAACAGCTGTTGAATATAAGACAAATAATAGAAAAATGTAGGGATTCAATATCCAACTATACGTATACACAAGTATTTATTTTGTAGATATTAGAGATCATTTCATTCTGTGTTAGTAATTACTCTTTGTATGCTGTAGTTATAACACAATTTTGAAATAAATATTATTATTATCCAAGGAAAAGTAGAAGGCTGAAGATCACCAGGAAGATCCGAAGATCCCCAACAAGATGGATTAACTAAATTACAGAAATATACAAAAGATGTATGCATTAGTTAAAAGAAATGAACAGAGACAGAGATCTTTGGAGAAGGACAATACATGATATAACTACAACCACTACACTTCCTTTGTGGCTGAGGAAGGATATATATATATATATATATATATATATATAATATATATATATATATATATATATATATATATATATATATATATATATATATATATTTACGGCATAAAGTGAACTCCGCCCATGTTAAAATTCAGGTTCAAGTGAGCTCCGTGGTCAAGTGGACACCGATATACGGAGCTCACATGACCATTCCATAATATTGGCTCTGTCGATTCGTTAAGATGTATAGTTTCATAATTCTTAATAAAATTTTGGAGCTCATAAGTACCCCTGTATCATAAATGTATTTCGCTTAGTTCACGTGTATATATTATAGGGGTCGTTCAGATCTTTTTCACTGTATATTGGAACCATAGGAATATCGGTTTAAGTAAGCTCTGATAGTTTGGCAACTATGCACTTAGGCCAGCGTTCTTGATATATATATTTTATATATATTTTAAACGGTTCATACGGACTCCTTTTCATACGCATTACAATATGTAATCTTCTTCTTCTTCTTGATGTGCCTATCCGTTATGAATGTTGGCGATCATATTGACAATATGTAATAGATATGTATAATACCAAATACCTGTTTTTGGTAGGTACCTGCTATTCTAAAAATAGCTTTATAAATACAAAAGGATTTCATTACCAAGTTGGACGTGTTTTTTCATATGCGAATATTTCCTAATGTATTTTGTTAACATGAATATGTCTTTATACGTTTTATTTAAGAATACGATTAATAAGAACTTTTAGTTAATCCATTGTTTTACGATATCTTGTATACAGCTTCTTTATTATTTTATTTCTGGTTTTATCTGTGTACTACATATAATTCTGGATAGGTTATCTTAAAATAAATATTTAAGTGCAAAAATAGATATTTTTATGTAAAAATTGGTAGTAGTGCACAAAAGAGGGAAGAATGCTTAATTTATATAAGAAGAATGTACCAGTTCACCAATATTACATACTTCTAAATGTTTTATCTGCTATTTAGGGGTAATATGTAATCAATAAACGTGGAGTTAGTGTCAAATTTGCAATAATCTTTGGTCAGTTTTTTCTCGATTTTAGTCATAAATTGAGCTGGTATTCGTTGAGTGGATGTTGCGATTCTAGACTTTGTATCTTTTATTCTCTAGCAGTCTAGCTACTTATCTTCGGATATTAGGTGAATTGATAGCTACGATATTGTAGAGCTTATGTATGGATGTGTGTGTGTGTGTGTGTCTTAATAATCGCTGAATTTGGCTGTCTAATTTATAGCTAAATCTACGTGTTAAATATGTGTTGGTGTCATCCATACTTGCAAGGTATATTCGGTAGCAGAAGCATAGAGTGCAAGCGTCTACGTTTTAAGGATGAAAGGATGCTTCTCATTTTTAGCTGACAAGTTTGCAGAGATTATTTTTCTGGTCCTCAGTTTGCCTTTTAGTTTTAAACAATGTTCTATGAATGACAAAGTGTGATACAAACTATCTTCAAGGTATTTATAGCAAGTCCAGAGTTTAAAAATTTCATGACACTATTGGATGTTTAGATTTTTAAAAGCAATTCTGTTAGGGACATTAAAGCAGGACCTCTGACTTTTTCTGAGGTTTGGCTTAAAATTGATTCATAGTCTATTTTTATTGTGTTTAAAGTATGATTTAGATTTTTCTATACTTCAGCAACAAAAGTTTTTGGTTGTGCAACAATATCGATGTATCGTCTACATAATAAAAGTCCTAGTATTTACTGGTATGGGTTGTGTAAATATTATACAGTGTAGGTACCATTACGCTACCCCAAAGGAGACCGTTCTTCTGCGTTTTCCATCTGTTATTTTTACCATTGAATGATACGAAAAATCTTCTGTTGTGTAGGCATACCCGGACAATACAAGCCATTGTTGTATTTTTGATCCAAATTTTAGAATTAGTTTTGTGCTCAGATCTTTAGTCAGGAGCCGTAATATTGTTCATTAGGTATATACGTAGATAGCAGATCCAAGCTCAACACCGTTGAAAGATTCCCTTAGCTGACTGGTTTTGTCCCCTCTCATTTTAAGTTTTTCTTTTCTTGTTTGCCTATGTTTGGCCCTCAATGTGTTTCCTGCACTAGAAATACGTCACATTTGTGTTAACCGCATATGTCTGATAAAGTTAAGTAAAGGAAAGTACCTATCTTTATCTCTGGATATTCCCTTCTCTAATGTTTATAGACATAATTAGGATAGTTGGCATTAAAAAGGCCGATTTGGCCGATCTTTAAACCCTATAAAATATGGCTAATCTTTTACTTTTCATTAAAAATTTTAATTTTACATACTGTTACTTTTAGACAATATTTCGATCAGATTTGTATAGTAATAAATGTAGTTAATATACAGTCTCTTTGTGAAAAATAAATGAGTTTGTAATATCGGTCACAACTCATATATGGATAATAAGGAAATAAACGGTTAAAATAGGTGTACAAAATTTTAACTACATATATCGGCGCCATTGTTCAGGAGTTGGGTTTATCTCAGAGATCAAAGGTTACGTTACATGCATATTCCAGGTTCTATTTACGTATTTTCATTCCTAAAAAAGTATATTTATAATAAAGCCCTGAAGCTACCTTTAGATTCTATGAAAAGTAGAATCTATGGAAATTAGCAAATT